CCATACACCTCCATTGTTGTCCAAAACTATTAAAAACACATTCATGAGTCACACCGTGTTCCTAGGTGACATGGTCTTTCATTACCATTAACATGGACACTGCAGTGTATTTTGAGGCAATCCCACATTTACCGAGCTGCTGCCAAGTCCTCACTAGAGTACCAAATGTGTACTAATCCATGGCTGAAAATAAATCCCAACAAATGCACTTTTTCCTCATTGTTTGAGTAACATTTGGTAAAAAACTGCAATTCTCAGTTGTTTCAGAAACTTATTTAGCTGATCTACATCTTCAGTAAATCTTGGGGTTGAGAGCCACTAACAGGGTGAGGAAGTCAGAAGGTCTTGAGAAACGCATAATTTTTTTCTGCTCTTTTCAAGGGATTTATTGACATTAACCAGGGACAGCATCGACTCGCCTTATGCTTTAATGAGTAGATTCTGATTAACCTTGAATCTGATGCTGAGTGGCACAAACTAATAATCATTTTGTTCTAATTACTTAACATATTTTTGTGACTCCTCATCTAAAGTGGTTCATTATACTAAGTAGAATGATCCTTCATTATTTCATGATTACCTCACCATTACTTATTATTTTTGTGCCCCCCTCAAGTAAGGCATCATCCCACAAAACTAAAAAGTAGCTAATGAGTGTTTACCTGAGTATTGTGAAGGTGCCGTAAAGCATAAGAAGCTGTATTTATTTGCGTGGCAATAAATAAACACGGGCAGCTCAACACAGGCTTCACCCCTGCTCTGGACTTAATTGAGAAAATAGTTTTGCAGCAGTATTCTCCTTTAACACCACGCAGAGGGTATCATTTTGGGTTCAGAGAGAAGTTAATGGATCAGGACATCTGTTACGCATCGTGGCGATCATCATTAAGAGACTGTGGGTGGTGGAGGCTCTGCAGTTTGTACGGCTGGAACGACATTACCATATGCTGTGGCATTCTGATGACGTTGCGCGAGTGTCTAACTCCTGGGCCACTTTCCCACAGCGTGCTGTGTATGTGCTGATTTGCATACAGTATATCAATGGAGGATGTTATTTTTTTTTTAAAATTCTAATCTTTTGCTTCACTCTGTGAAATGACTGTTTTACTACTGTGCCACTATTTTCTTACCTTGAGGATGTCGGACGACTGTCACAACATCCCAGAGTCTACAATCAATCAATACTTCCTGCTGTGATGGATGCTTTTCAAGATGACATAGATGTACTGCCTGGCTTTATATATCACTCCTTATGTCATACACACAGCACTCATGGTCTCAGGGTTTCCTGGTCATCACAGTAAACTCTCCACAGACTTGTATTTATGGGCGATGGGCTCTTAAAGCTACTTATCACACTTTGTGTTTTGTATATTTGATTTGGCTTGTTTGAGAGCTGGAATATGTAGTAGCAGATTTCTGTGTGTGCATGCATTTTTTCTTATATGTTAAGCAGTCAGCTGCATCAGAAAGCAGGGGAACACGATGTGACTAACACATTAATGAAGATGTATGTTTGACCCTGTATTTAAATTTGATACCAACAGTGGTAAGATATAAATATGTGTGTATTTTACTCCTTAAACTCCTGGGCTTCAGTGTCAGAGCCACAGTGATAAGAGATTAAAATTCCAAGTTTATCAATTGACTGCTATTTAATGCAAGAACGCAAGATTTAAAGAATTTAAAATAATGAACAGAGTGTACTTTTGTTTCATGTTGTCACACATACGGTCAAATTTGAATGGATTTACGCTATGGCGTGAATATATGTACATGCCATATAACGCAAATGTGACTGTTTAGAATCTGTGGCAAATACATAAAGCAACAGAAGCTGTGTTTAGCAATGCTCTTGCATAATTCAGTAAACTACAACTTTTGATCAAACAAAGCATGTAAATGGAGCAGAAGGGGAAAATGCTGTAGAAAGGCTTTAAAAAGTTTCTATGTAGAAAAATTGTTGTTGGCTATCCCTCCCATCGGCAATGATTGCATTGTACTCACTAAATTGCTAAAATGTGGCGAGGTTGCTAAAAAGAATTCAGATGGGGCAAGGAGCACAAGTAGCAAGACGATCAGGCAGGTTTTTCAAATAAACTCACAGGACATATTAACCGTTTCAAACATCCATCACAGTTTACAGTCCAAGCTCCAGCTCCTGTGCAAGAATTATTACCGACATTAGACATGCCTTTGCTTTTCCCTCAAAATACAGTGTTTAAAATAATCTGACTAAACTGTTGGCTTGTTAACAATTAATCAGATTTTCTGACAGCTCTGTTTTGTCTGGACTGACTACGTTGTAGTACTGTTGCCGTGTTCCAAGATCTCAGCAATTACTCTGTGAGTTCAATGTAATAATGACTGATAGGATTAACAGCCAAAACTGTGAAAGTAAGAACCAATAAAGCAAAATGATCCTTTAATACTCATACTGCCTGATATTCAGGTAGGTTTCCTCTTCAGAGGAATTGTTGCAACTGTTTTCAGCTTGACTTCATGTCAGATGTGCTTCAGTAGAAACAGATTTTTATTGCGGAAGACTCAGTGTCAGTATGTCCATATAATTCCTTAAAGGTCCACATTTAGGAGGATCTATTGGCAGAAACTGAATATAATATGCATAGTTTTCATTACTGTATAATAACCTAAAATAAGAATCATTGTGTTTCCCTTACCTTACAATGAGCACATGGTAAAGTCAACGCCTCCTTTTTTTGCTAACAGAGCGATGAGGACAACTGTGCATAAGCGAGAAAAAGGAGGAATTTCAGTGGCATACTTTTTTGTATTTGGGCCTGGGGAGGGTAGATTTTGAGTCAAAAATTTGACTCACTCAATCATACTTGTCAATTCTAATTTGCAGTAGCTGTGGAAGAGTTTACTTCCCACTGCACCCAGACATCCTCCTTCAATTCCCATTATGTTATGTATATTAAAAAAAAAATTCTGAACAGACATTTCTGTGTAAATCCACAGCTGATTGTAACACGGACTGTCTTTCCTGCTGCTGTCTAGGTGTGGCAGTGTGGAGGAAGTATGGAAGTCCTGCCGTGCGCCAGAGTGGCTCACATCGAGCGCACCAAGAAGCCCTACAACAATGACATAGATTACTACGCTAAGCGCAATGCCCTCCGGGCTGCTGAGGTATGGATGGATGAATACAAATCCCACGTCTACATGGCCTGGAACATTCCCATGAACGTAAGTTTTTCTCCATCTTAGATGCCTCCATCCCTCGATCCCTGAGCTCCATCTGCCCCCTCTCTTCCCCTCTCACTTGCTCATTCAGACATGCAACCCCGGTTCTCCGGAGACACTAGTCAATAGAAATTCAAAATTCTGATTTCATCCCACCTGACCTTCACACTGGCAGCAGAGCGAAGGCAAAGCAAGGAAGCAGTGGATTCTCATTCCAAACAGAGGAGAGAGGTGCACCAAGTGAACGAGAGGAGCCTTCTGTCTAATCAGTCCATTTTCATACACATCACTTTAGCTTAATTGCTTTCAAGGGTCTTTTGAGATGGGCTGCAAAATAATAAACAGCTATTTTCATTAATAAAGAGTTTAATATTGAATCCTAATTGCCTCTTCAGCCATGCAGAATGAGATGATTGTCAGTGAAGGACGTCAGTGAAGGCCTCTGAACGCTGCCCAAAACAACACACTGCTGTTCATAACAAAATAACAACTGGCTGTGTGGCAGTCACACACAGGTCTGATATGCTGCTGATACCTGCATGCCATCTAGAAATTTGGCACAAACATCATTACATGAGAACTCACTAAGTGCAGGGAGGAAGTGCCAACTGGGGAAATGTTTGAAACATTGTGTGTGTAGATGTGTGTGTGTGTGTGTGTGTGTGCAGCATGGAGGGCATGTTGCGTAAGGGGGAGGGCAGCACTGACAAACTAGCCAATCAGGCCACATCCCCTCTCCAGTGTAATTACAAACACAGTGGTATGGCACGTTATTACCCCAGCTGTCCTGTGGCGCAGAGTTATTTTGTGTACAGTACAAAGACCTAACACTACGATTATTCCATCTACCCCCCTTCCTCCCTCCCTCCAAATCCTCCCATACACACAATCACATATTCTTGTTATTGTCTGAGGTACCCACTGAGAGCACAATTACTTTGGTGGGGGAAGGCTTTATGATTCACCACAGTGGCCAGCCCCAAGTCCAAATACTAAACAACATCTCAGTGAAATTGAATGCATTTGTTAGTGTCACTTTATGGTAGAAAAAAAGTGGACTTTTCCAGCTAGAATTTATTATTAACAGATGTGGAAAGCAAGTTTAGCAGCTGGCTCTAGACTCTAACAGTTAGGGGGAACTGATGAGGAGGATTTGCCTGGAAAAACTGGTAGTAAGACAACGGTGTGTGCGTGCCTTGCATCAATTTCTATGGGAAAGCCATTGTCCTTTTATATGCATGTGGTGTATATTTTCTATGGCTATACAGAATGTGTGTTAATTTGCATATCCATGTGCATTTAAGCAGTGCACTGTATGGCGTATACTGATATGGACTTGGTATGTGTGTCAGGATCAGGCCTCTGTGCCAGGCAGTGAAGCTATTAGGCATTCCCCTAATCAATCTGTAAAGCCACCTCCATAATGCAGGCAGGGCCGTGAGGGCTCATAATTAAGCAGCTGATTAGAATTTGCTCAGCACAGATCATGTCTAATGAAAGAACAATGAAGGTCCCACATGACAGGCGCATCCATCCATCTCTTAACTAAACGCTTGCTGCATCCTCTCAGCACCTTAACAGTTTTGCGTATTCTATTTCTCCAGCATCTAGTACTCTCACTTGGTTCTTAAGTAAAGTGCCCGCTGGCTAAAAGTCTTTTTTTTTTGTCTGTCTCATTTTTGCACCATTTGTTGACAGAACCCGGGGGTAGATTTTGGGGATGTCTCGGAGCGCCTGGCCCTAAGGAAGAGGCTGCAATGTCGGAGTTTCCGCTGGTACCTTGAACACGTCTACCCGGAGATGCGGATCTACAACAACACCATCACATACGGCGAGGTGAGAAAGATACTTGCTAAAATGATTACTGGCAAAACTCTGCATCTTAATTTTAATCTTAATTCTATTACAGAGCTGTGCTTTAAAGAGGATGCACACTGGGACAGGTTCCACAGATGATAAATACAGAAAATGTGTGAGAACTTAATTTGTGAGCATTATCAGGATCTTTTCTTTAGAAATGTTTTTCTGCAACTCAGATGTAAGCAGGTACATGAGATCTGCTTTAGTCTGTAAAAAAAACCTAACCGTCCACATCAAAGATTATGCTTAAATAAATATGACTTCACTGTAGCCAATAAGGTAAAGGTATCATTGCTACAGTATCACCACACAGGATTAGATGCAATTTCCTCAGAATGAGTTTTAATTAAACACTTATTAGTTTTCCATTCCAACTTGATTGTTTTGGGCTTGGATGCACACTCAGCACAGTGGGGGAAGAAAACAGGATTAGGACAGGTTGAAAAATGTAACACACTCAGACTCAGACACTATTTGGAGGTTTTCTCAAACACACAATTTTTTCGTCATATCAATTTCAACAATGGAAAACAGAGGAAAATCAATATGCTCTGCAAATGCAATGCTGGAATACATTAAAATTAACCTCTAGATTCATCAAAGCTGTGTGAATTTACTCCCCTCTTTGTTTCCCCTGCCGCCTGTTGGCTCTGGCACCCAGCTAATGGATTCCTCAGAGCAGCCACTTAAGTGGCACTATTTCAGATCTGTCGACAAGCCTTGTGTTGCCACACAGCCGCCGCAGCAGAAGTGAGTCTCATCTGTCACTGAGCATCAGTGCCGCGCTAGCCCATGCTGACCAGACCAGCCGAGTGGAACCTTCCCTGACAACAGCACATGATAGATATGTCACAACCTGGAAATGAAGCCGTACGCATTCAAATCACACTGAACCCAAGCTCACGCTCAATGCACACCACCATCTGGAGGCCTGGAGGTAGAGACAGAACTGGGGACTGGTCACTGCAATATCCTATCATGGCCAGGTCATCACTTTGTGATTATATAAGACTGCTGTGTGAACAAGTCACAAAGGATCCAGTAGATTTGTTTTCACATTAAATTTTGTGGCAAATGTAACCACAGCAGCCAATAGCTCGGAAGAGTAGCAACATCCTTGTTATCTCCAACTGAATGTTAAGCTTATTGAATATAAGGAGCCAATATTCTGAGCTCTTGATTTAGAACTATTGTCAAATATTTTAAAGATTCTGTGTTAACTCTTTTTTGTGGGTTTGCTGCTACCTAACAAAGAATAAGGCAGGTTTCTAACCAACTGACACCCCTAAGGCTGATGACAGAAACTAGAACTGTGACAATTATTGTTCATTTTATGATCAATGCAAGACTGCAACATTTTGGGAAATATACTTACTTTCTCGCTGACAGTTAGATGAGAAGATTGAAATCTGCAGCCAGGAGACAGTTAGTCTAGCTTAGCATAAGACTGTAAACAAGGAGAAACAGCTAGCCAAAGGTAACCAAATCTACCTACCACTAACTAACATGTTATATCTTGTTTGTTTCATTCACCCAAAAACCTAAGTGAAAAAAACAAGTTGCAGCTATTCAGGAGGTTCTGTGTTGGAGCCTTTCTTGGCTCGGCTTCCTACAGACATGAAATAAAATGTGTTAATTAGTGAGCTTAAGAGGTGCTGGTAGGCTTCAGCTTCATAAAGTATTTAAAGAACAGACAGGAGAGTGGTCTGAATCTTCTTATTTAACTCTTGGCAAGTCGAATGAGAATCTTTCCAAAAATGTCAAACTCCTCCTGTGAAATCCTTTGTAGGAACAACCTTTAATCCTGATGGTCACGCAACTACAATCTACCATACAAGATCCTTCTCTCTCGTCTCTTCTCAACTCCTACCATAATCTTTTCTTCAATAATTCAAACATTTATTGAATACCAGTGCCTCCTGTGTTCTCTTTCAGGTGAGGAACAGCAAAGCTAGTGGTTACTGCCTGGACCAGGGCTCTGAGGACGACGACAAAGCCATCCTCTACCCCTGCCACGGCATGTCCTCCCAGGTCAGACCAGTCCTGTGAACTGTTAGTGTGTCCATGTTCACTGCTGTATTCATTAAGCAGCCATGTTCATCAGGCAATCAGTCAATTGCCTGTCAGTCAGTGTAGTGTGTGGATTCTTCCAAAGTAACATTACGTGTGTGTGTGTGTGTGTGTGTGTGTGTGTTTATGTATTGCCCTCCTGGCAAATGTAAATACTCATTCTTAGATTTACGGATGAACTTATTCTGCATTTTAACACTTGAGGACTCTCCTCAGGATGATGTGGTGTAATTACTCTCTTCCTCAAGCACCATAGAATTTAGTGGTAGTAGCAGTGGTGGTAGCAACAGCGCTATAAAGAGAAATATGTTGCCTGATTGCTTCTCATTTACCAGAACTACAGACCCACGCACACACATCTCCGCTGAAGCTTTTAAGTGAACAGCTAACACACATCACACACACTGAGGGCAGATCATAATATTATATCCCAAATGACCAGCGAAGTAGTAACAATAAATTGCTAGCCAAACTAATTATGAATACACATTTGAGAGCTACATAAATTGAAATAAACTGGTGTGTGTATTCAATCAGGACGCACATCTACTTCAGCAAGTGTTCTGGTTTAATAAACTACAGAAGATGTTCGTCAGGATACTCATGAACAAAGGCCCCACACACCCGCAAGCTGTTCACAGTTGAGTCGAACTAAAACCAAAAATAAGACAGGAGTTTCAGGAAGATAATGATCAAGTTTGGTCTTAACATAAACCTGTGTGGGTGTAATTATTGAATAATAAATAAAGAAACAAACAAACCATAATAAAAGAAAGAAATGCATATTAAGTGATATGTGCTGGAATAAAATTTGCAATGCATTTGAAAAAGTCTGAATTGAATTAATTAATTAATTAATTTCAGAGGTCCAGGTGCAAAATGTTACCAAATTAAGATTTTAGCATTTAAAAGAGTTTTTATTAGCATTAGCTAAGAGGTCCCACCCTTTGTTTAATCAATATCTTTTAAAAGTTCTAAAATCTTTTCATGATATAAAGCTGAAGGATGTCCTGGGGATGGGTCTTCATTTATCAAATGGTTCATATATACAGTATATGTATAGCAGATGCATTGTCTCTAGGCACATGACTTGGACTCCAGTCAGACTCAAGTCACAAATTCAATGACTTTAGACTGACCTGACAAAATCAAGAAAGATTTGCCTGTGGACTTGGACGTTAACACCTGTAACTTGTGACTTGTGACTTGAAAGATTAAAAAGTCATTAGTCTATTTTAAAAAAGTGTGTCACGTAACAATTTCCTAAAACAACTAATGTTGCCGGTCAAAACTTGGGACTTGAGTGCAAACACTTGAGATTTACTTTGGACTTAATTCCACCTCTGATGTATAGTAATCCATTTGCAGCTGTCATATGAAATTATATCTCTCTTTTATTCATTCAGAGACCTTTCTCTAGCATCCTGCCTTATTTAATTAGCTCTTGTCATAAATGTGAAAACATCACTCAGCACGCTCAATTACAGCAGTGTCGACATATCCTGTATCTGCATTTAATGTGAAATTCATTTAAATAAAGACATAATTTCTCTGAATCATAATCAGTGGGAACTTGAGTTGTAGAGGAAACACATACTGTAGAGTGTGTGAGTAAAGAGGTAACCAGATAGAAAGCAATTTATTTTGTGGACAAAGAATGCCTTTGGGCCCTTTTGTATTCTGAAATCTATCCTTACTTGTCATACTACAACATAGTGTGGGCGACTACATTTTCCCCCACTCTTCATAAAATTTGCTCCAAAAACACATTACATTCAATCCTTGCACCCCATATTGTTTTTCTGGAACTCAACTTCTTACCATTTATGATATGTTTTCCAAAGATGGACTTTTATATACAAGATTTATATAAAAGCAATTAGAAAATTGAAATTTCCTGATCATTTTAAAACTAATTCACAGATTCACTCTTACAGTCCATACAGACTCTATACAGTCATCTTATCTTCATCTTCCCAAATATGTCTTCTCAGTCATAAACAGTGAGGCCAGTTAAAATCACATCTTCCTTAAAGTCCTACAAAGCATATTTTGAAAAGACTATATGCCTATTTTGACTATGTGAATTTGTCCTACATTATTTAGGAAATTATAATTTAATTATTATTTATTTAGGACATTTTCATCTCCCTGTCCATTATTTTCATTATTTGTCAGTCGTTTGATTTGAACCTGTGTAAATCAACCTCAAAACCCTCAAAAGTTATGTGAAGAAAATCTTCATTAATCTCTATAAATTAATTGAATAAATTCAGGTTTTCATACAGGTTAAGAGGGAGAGTGATGCATTTTGTCCTCTTTATAAAACAAAATCTGAGAGACCCGTGGGCTTGAGGATTCACATTAATGAGTGCAGTTAGTCATGGACATACTGGTTTAAAGCACAGAATGACCAAATTACAAAGTATATTTTGCAAGCCTCATTGGGTATCTGTATTATTTTTTTATTTAACAGTAAAAGAGCACAGAATATATGGCTCTTGGGAGTATAATACTGCAATGAACCAAATCTTCACAGTGCTTCATGATTAGGTAAAATCTATTTCAAGGTTTTCACTGGCTTAATAACACTGCATGACATCGGAATGCTAGACTTAGAAACTGTTCATCAGCCAGAGGAGGCAAAAGTGGATGGTAGTGCCATGCCTGTACAATTGAGCAAGGCATCACCAACAACTCTGAGCTGCTCAGTGGGAAAACAGGGCCATTCCCAGGTGAGAGTGCATGAATATGCAGTCACAGCTGCCGTGTGCTCAGCATAATAATTTACTTGAATAGATACCAGGACAAATGGCATGGTGGGTGGGAGCCTGTCCTGTTTTTGTGCTTATTTTCCTATTATGCTTTGGAACAAAAGATAACCCTGAAGACAAATCATGCAAATGCTATTCATGCATCACTTTTCTTACATTTCCCACCTTTTCTAACCAGTTCCCTGAGTGACATGTTCATTATTTGTCTTGTGAGGGAGTTTTTATAAAAGGCCAGCCTCTTCTCTCTATACAGCAAGAGCTCAGTGAGGTCCAGTAATGTAAAGCTTCACTGACTCTTTTAATCCTGATCCCTGGGGGAAACAAACAAATGGAGATGAATTTTGTGCCTTTGTATTATTAGATTACAGTGATGACCGACATTACTGTGAGCGGGCAGAATTTAATTTTGTGGGACTGTGATTTTGCATTCCTCTTTACCATTGCTCCTTTTACTTATATATAATTGGCCAGAATAATAAATAATAAATCTTTATTGTAGTTCTGACGAATGAGTCTCTCTCTGCCGGCTCTCCCAGTGGAAATCTAAATCATGGATAATGTCTCACCTTTGTCCGATGCCCCGCATGGCGGAGGAGCTACAAAGCCTGCATCACCGCTCATACTCACACATACACACACCAAGCAGTAGTCTCTTAAAAGTAAATGATGCATCTTTTTTCTTCCTTCCTTCCTGTTGACGAGCATATCTACAAGAAAACACGGAACGCAATGGTGGTAAAAATAAAGAACCCTGAAAGGAGGCAGTGACGGGATTAATGTGCCCCGTTAATCCAGCGTTTCCTACATAAACAGGCAGAATACCTACCCGTCTGATGTGTATAGAGGTGTGTGTGGTTATTTTCTAGCTGCCTGGTGTTGTTTAATAAAGGTAAACAAAATGAATAATATACAAGTACAGTCCATTTACCATTTTAGAATCAACTATATTCATTTATAGATAGACTGCTTAACTAACGTCCCAGCTTCAACTTGATTAAATGAGTGTTTCATTAAAGTACTTTTTAAGCATTGTTGCTGCACATTTGCATTAAGTATTTAATTTGCTGTTGTGTTTCTGAGACAAGCACTGCTTAGGGCTCTCAGACTGGGTTTCCTCCCACAAGGAATCCCAGCTATGTGCAGAGCACTTAGGTGCGCGTGGTGCTGATGGACACCATCTCTGCCGCTTATGCAATGGGGCCTCTTAAGTCTGTCCTTCAGGGGTTTGTGTAGAGGTTGGAACCTCATTCAGATTCCCATGCCAGACCATAGTCCTGTATTGAGAGGACCTGTGCTGGGCCCAGAGCCGAGGCCCCCATGCCAAGCCCTCTTTAAGACGTTTGCCATAATCTGTAGAATTAACTTACTCATGGTGGAGCAAGGTACAGCAAAGGTAGAAATGTGGAGATTACAACCCGATACAATGTACAAACACTCCACTCCACTTATATTTATATTGTCACAGCGTTGCACCGTTAATGAGCTAATTAAGAAACTTGTGATTAGCCTGACCTCCAAAAAGTGGCTGCAAAACTTTCCCAAGGTACGGCGCGAAGGCAATGGAGCGTCTAATGTTGCTGCATGAGGCACAGGTTAATTGGCTTGGCAGAATCATTTCCTCACGTTAATTATTTGTTATGGTCCCGTTTTAAATGTATTAGCGTATAAAAGGCTGCCAGACTGAGCTGTAAACAGGTATTAGCAGGGATTATACGGGGGTTTCCTTGTGCCCAGTCATAGTTTACACCATGGATAAATCAGCTTAGAGCCTTATAACCCACAAAGACCCAAGACAGCAATACAAAATTCCATGAAGAATTGTTAATCAAACTGTCTGTAATAATGACCTTTGAGAAAAATTCAAAATGTGTCTCGCATTAGACTGAGAGTTTCAAATATGTTTATGTAAATGTCTGACATTCCTTGGTGCAAAGAATTATCTTTATCAGCAGCCCTGAGCAACCTCGAGTGACACATAAAGTGCTGCTTCATTGTTTTCTTATTTGTTCCAAGTGGCTCTTTCAAAAACCACCGGCATTCACTCTTCTCACAAGGAGCAACACCCACACAGGCCACTTACTGCAGCTCCAAAAGTCTCCACTCAGACAAAGTTATATTGTTGGACAGATTTTTTTTCCTAAAATTAACTGAGTACTTGAACAGGGACTATCTGTGTATGACCACAATAATAGGTTTTTCAAACAATTACATTTTAAGTTTCAACAGATTCATTGACAGGTGTGAAGAGAGGGTAGCTACAAGAAGCAGCTTTTGCAATGGGCTCAAAAATGTGCTTATATTTCATCTCATTTTCTCAGTCAAACCCTCAGACAATTTGTAACAAAGTCACATTGGGACAGAAAAGGATAGAGCATATTTTTGCATCAATAAGCATTGGAAGACACATTTTTTATAAGTCGTCTTTTTTTAGCAGTCTGGATTCAGAGGCATCCTGTTACACTGATTCTTCCAGGACTGTGAATAACATATAGCTACCTTTCCTGTGCTTTAACAGAAGGCTGTGTGTGTGTGTGACAGTCATGTATTTGTCCCCCTCAAAGTAGGGCTGCAACCTTACCAAAGACCCCCCTATCTTTAGCATCTCATTTTTCAGAGAGGATCACTCCCATAAATAATAAATGGTATCTCTACTGTATCCTTACGTAATAGATACTTATCGTTACAGAGCCTTTCATGTGCCGGATTAAACAGTGACGGATCAAGTTTTGGTTTGGGGAAATATTTTGGCATTAACAAGCTGTGCACTGTGGTTTCTGTGCAGTGCTGTACACTGAAAACAAGACCACATGTAATAAGGAGAGACAGTCTTGCACTGAAGTCTAATAAAATAAACGGTTAAGGTAAAAGACAAAATGATATATTATTATATAATATATCAAGTATTATGCCATAGAAATGTATAATTTCTGTGAAAACAGCTTTATAAAATTGCACCAAACAGCCAACTAGAAATAGATAGAGTGAGACAGCCACACCTAGCTACAGCTAAAACTTAAACTAAATGTACTTACTGAAGCGAGGGCGTCGTCTGCAACGACACCACTAGATGTCACCAATTCCTACACACTGGTCCGTTAAATGCACTGAACTATAAATTCAGCATTGTATTGTTTTCAATATAAATATGTATAGGTGACGGGCAGACTACAGACACCTAGCAAAACAGAGGGTTAACATTTGTGTAAGATATGGGCTGTAAATAATTAAAATAAACTTTATTTTCTTGAGCAAGCTGTTGAAATGACCAAGGAAGCTGAAAAAACACATTTTGATGGTATATAATTCGTTTTCCCTTATATTCAGCATGGATTTCCTTAGAGTCAGTAACATTATGTGTTATGTAGGTTCCTGTCATGCAGTCTGCCATTGTTGAAGCTATGATTACTGCAACCGCATGTGAGTCTTGCAGTTGAACACATTGGCTATCTCTGTGTTGCAGCTCGCCCGCTACTCTACCGAGGGCCTTCTCCAGCTAGGGCCCCTGGGGTCGACCACCTTCCTGCCCGACACAAAATGCCTCGTTGATGATGGCAGAGGACGTACTCCCAGACTGAAAAAATGCGACGCCATTTCAAGGATTTCCCAGAGGCTTTGGGACTTTACACAGGTAAAAAGTACACTTCAGACACCAAATACAATAAAATAGATGGTGATGCATATGTTACTGAACTGCTAATAACTGTCATAATTATCATTATTCTATGAATAAGCTCTTGTTGTTGCAACCATCTGTTTTGTCTAAGGTTATCGGGCAAATCTGGTCATATTTTTTTTTGTTATGTTTTTTGCAGAATGGTCCAATCATCAGTAGGGACACTGGTCGATGCTTAGAGGTAGAGATGTCTAAAGATGCCAACTTTGGTCTTCGCCTGGTGGTCCAGAGATGCTCTGGTCAGAAATGGATGATACGAAACTGGATTAAGCATCCCAGGCATTGAAGCCAGAGAACAACCTTTGAGACAGTTTGGGCAGTTTTTCAAGTCGCAGTTGGATTTCAAATGTTGGACAGTTCAGAGGGGAGAGAGGACTGGTGATGCTAGTGTGTGGTATTTCACACAAACAGACTGTACTGCACACTAAGCTTCCCTCAGGCCACAGAGCTTCGTAACACTGAGTCTTGAAGAAGAATATGATCAATTCAAGTGTTCCACTGAGCTGTGCGTTCACAGAGACCTTACGGCAAGCTGCGCTGTTTGAAATGGCCCACATTTCTGACATTCAGCTACATGTATAGAACAGAGAAACAAGACACCTGAGTGCAGCCCCTGAAGGTGGTTTGAGATCCTAGCAACTCTTTTGTTTCTACTGTAAACTAAACTATCAGATCTTTGAAGGTGAGAAAGCCTGTGTGTGTGTGTGTGTTTTTCTTTTTCCTGAGTGCGTCTGAGCAAATTAAAAGATATAATTACTGTCAATTGCCACATCAAAATGGTTATTTTGGGTTGTGATTTGGAAAATTGCTTTAGACATATTACGCTGCCCTGACAAGACATGTAACAGGCTTCGAGGCTGCCCATCATCTGACAGGGAGGCATTTCACCTGCACTCACACAAACCACTACAGTTCTTTGTTTCTTTGGACTGTATTGCTCACTGTGGACAGGAGCAATCATGTGCCTTTTTTCTCATTTTTCTGCTTAATCTGACCAGGGAATGTCAGTCCCAAAAGCATGTACAAAATTATTTGAGAATTATTAATATATAAAACAATGTATAAAACAGTCTAATGATAGTAATATATTGTAAAAAGTGAAAAATTGATATCCGTCCTCTGATAACAATTAGGATAATAAAATCATTTTTATGATGAGACGCCGCTTCATCTTTCTCTTCCCAAGCGTTTATATCACCGCTGTCGTCAGTTCAAAGAATTCAGTGTCAACTTTTGCTCCCTGTGTGTACTTGGCTGTGTCTTACATAAAAACTACACGTCTTCTTTTGTAGTGTTGTAAAGGCAGTTGCTAACAGCGCCAGAACGATTGCCTGTCTTTTGTTTTGCCTGCACTTACAACCACCTCAAGCCTCCATCAGGTTTCTGGCTCTGTGTACTGTGATTGTTCCAACCCGCCCACTGGATAACGGGTCTGCAGAAAGCACAGAAAGCTTTCCAATTATTTTACCCAGAAAAAAAAACTTCTTTACTTGTTCAGTTTTTCTCATGTCCGGCCAGAAATGTGTCCGTTTAGAAAGAATGACTTGAAAGTGTCTGACATGCTTTTTGCTTAAATATCTAATCATGTTTAACAGATGAACACAATCTTTTTTTTGTATGTAGTTCGTTACTTTTATTGACATGCATTATGATAAATTTACTACACCATTTGACAGGTTCCTTACTGGTGTCCCTCCCACAGAAAGTGAAGTCATTGCTTGGTGTGTGCAACAAAGCACGGCAAGCCTGTCAAGCTTTGAATTGACTTGCATTGTTATATTTTGTTTCTAAAACCAAAAACACAAAAGCAAAACTAAAAACTTTTAAACAATGGGTTTTTATGTATGCTGCAATTGCTAGCGTGTAAAGCTTACTATCTACTACCCTAGTACTAGTATATACTATCATTAATTAACTCTATCCGTTTGTGAAGCTACAGGTTATGTTCAAAAACAACAAAAACTCATTCACAACTTTCACATCCACTGTGTAAGTATTTTCCCACTGTGTGGATGCTGGTCCTGGATGCTATGAATGTGCAAACTGTAGTATCTCTTTTCTCTTTTGTTCGAAAATACCAACAAGTCTATTAGCTATGCAACCAAATCGGGTTATGTTACAATGAAAAAAGTCTGATTTGGCATTTTTTCTTATCATACTTACTTACTAGACTAACTAGCTCGACACTGCGATACGAGAACAATACTGCTAATTTATTACCATGTCTTTTACATGGATCATCAACTACTGAGGATGCAATATGTTTAGCCTCAGTCACAGTCCATGTATGTAGCCATCAAGTGCATACGGTATTTACAGGATTCTCAAGTGAGCAGCTGCTGTAGCTAGAGCTGATCAAATCTGACTGTGATAGTTGTCATTTAAGTTAAGAAATGAAGGGCCTAATGTAAATGTGTATGTGCTGTGCACAGCAGTGACGAGAGGCAGGGGAGGCAGAGCCTGCCATAGTTTAGCTGATGTATATAATATATGTGTGTAACCTGTTTCGTGTGCTCAGAGACCTTACAACGGCAGTGAAGAGGCACTCGGTGAGGCAGGCAGTTCTCTTGCCGCATGGTAGGGGGCACTCGTGAGCCTAGAGATTCTTATGCTACTCCGCAGCTGCAGAGTAGGTGACAGCGAGTTAGCAACAGTCTTACAGACCACGGTTACAATTAGCGAGTCAAGTGCAGCAATACATTTTGTAAAGTTTGTTTGTGTAAAGAATGCTGATATGAGATATGAAACATAACCCGTTAACTGCTGCCGATCAAATGGTGAATAATCTACTCTGTTGGGTTCATATATTTGTAAATCTAATTCCTATAGCCATGAACCTCACTGCACGTCACTGGTGCACAGGTACAGCAACAATAACTAAGGAGAGCAATTGATAAAGCTTTTTTATTATTATTATTTGGATAAGAACAAGATGTGAAAACTTGACTTATTTTGCCTTTAACACAGACATCATATACAGCAGGGCTTAAGCTTAAAAGTGCTGTCTACCTTGAAAGCACTGAATACCTTTGTTGCATTCACAAGAGGCTTCCTTGTGTGTCCAATTTATTTCTCCACCATCCTCAAGCCCAGATATACTGAGCATTTTAGGACCCAATGGAAAGTGAAAAGTCCTTTTACTGTGGTTGGCCATGCTATCCAACCTGCATGTTCCAAAGGCTCATTTTAATTTGGTTTCCAGCTGGTTTACCCTGAGAGATTGCCTGTACTTGCCACTATGTCATGCTTCTTTGCCTCTAATCATTTCACATAAGCAATGCATCATCTGTGTGTCCTCTAAACGAAGACTGCTTCAGCCCTCCCAAGGTAATATCTTATTCCGGTCTCCGACAAGGTTTACAAACACACCGCCAGTGCAATGTCTCACGGACCCCATGTCAGGAAATAGTTTGAACCGAGAAATTATTATTCTAGCAATATGGGTTTCCCCGGACTTAACACCTGCAGAATAATGGTACCCCACCTGATAGAATGAATGGATTCAGTGGGTTACAGGTCTGTGCCGCAGAGGCTTGCCTGCTGAGTCGATTTACACCGGGCTCCAAGGAAGTGTGGTCCAGATGGCTGACAGCACAGAGTGAGAGCTACAGTACTGAATGTGGTTTAGCTGTATTTATATTAGGTGGTTTGTGTCAATGTATGTGTAATTCCTTAATAATTATTTGAATTTATGGTTATTACTGTTGCAATCAGGGTAGTAGTACCCAAAATCAGTACTTTAAAGTATCAAACACTCTTTGTAGAATATGCAACAAAACATAATGCCTCATCTGTGTGAAGAAGTAAAGCATGAGTGACAGATTTTGGGTGGATTATCACTTGAAGTTCGGCTCATGGATAGTGTTACATTTGCATGTGCACGGTGTGCATTAGCGCTGAACGCTTGAGCCTCAGACAACAGCCACTGAGCTGATCGCAGCAGGTGAAAGGGAAGGCGAGCCTGCATTAAGGGTTTCATTTTCCCTAAGACTGGATGACAGAGTGACAGTGAGTGATGGGCTGGAGGAGGGTGGGCTGTTGGAGCAGGAGGGTGGGGGTAAGATATGTGTGACAGGGAACTAGAGGCAGGAAGCGGGGGGGGTTGGATGGACAAGGACACCACATCCGTCTCATGAGCAGGGGACCCTCGTTCAATCTCATTGTGATACTGACAATACTCTTTTTACGTCTGGCCTGCAGCCAAGAGGAAGAGGTGACTTTATTATTCAGACAGCCGCGGTTTGAGGATGAGGGGGGGGGGATACAGGGAGTTGGTGGGCTTTGAAGTGGTGCAAAAGGCAGCATTTCCACTGTGTGGCTAAACTGATGCTAATTCCCTGGACTGCCTGGAATGCATACTGTTTGCACATATATTCAGAACTACGAGAGAGGCAGGAGAGCAATCGGTGTATTATTTATCTGCAGAGAAACTGACAGCAATTACTGCTGTGTTTGGAAAGCAGAGATCTGGACAGATAGTCAGCTCAATAGGTGAAAAAGTGCAAAAGTTTTAATGAGCAAAGTTTGAGGGGCAAACACACAAACCTGTATAATTGTAGATGATATAAATGTAGATTTATCTTATATAAAAGCGCATGCATGGGTGCAATGTAAACGTTATCTTAGGAGGTACAGATATATTAATCAAAATCACAAGAAGTTTTTATCTAACTTTTGCTCAGTCTACTCAAATCCATCAATGGGGATTATTTAAAAAAAAAAACTGTGGTCTGGATAACAGCCAGACTTTATGGGTGACTGTGAGTGGGTCATTCCTGCACAGATTAATGTCTTCAGTTTATGAGCCCTACTTGAGATAAAATGACAATTTCTCGATACAATATTTCACCTCTTTAGGACTGATAGACAGTGTTCACTCTCATTCTGGGCTGGAAATTCTAACATTTCTCCTTGTCATATTTCTGCTTGTTTAATAGTGTGCCATTTACACAGACCCAAAATGGGAACATAAAAGAATACTCAAATAAACTCAATATACAAGGTAGCGTAGTATAAAAACACCACCCAGTGCGGCTTTACCTGGGCTGGATATCAACTTTAAAGAGAGACATTTTTGGTGTAACACAGTGGTTTCAGGTTTGATCCACACCCCTACTTAAGTGTCCTTGAGCAACATACTAAAACCAATGCTTGTTTCCTTGTTTTTACGGATACGGTTTGTGCTATAGCAGGAAAACCTTCAAAAACACTCAAAATATGTTACAAGAACTGTTCACTATATTAGCAACCTTTGGGGAAATACACTTATTTGCTTTCTGTCTGTGAGTTAGATGAGAAGATTAATACAACACTTTTACCTGTGCATTAAGTACTATGGCTGGAGCTGGGAAACCGTTAGCTTAGCTTTGCATACAGACTGGAAGAAACAGTTAGACAGGCTCTCTCAAAAGTTCCAAAACAGTTCTAGAGCAGAAAAAGACTGAAATAACACATTGTATCTTGTTTGTTTAATCCATACACAAACAGTTCTGTAATAATTGATGGCTTTAGAGCAACTAACATGATGTAATTATTTCTTGTCAACAACAGTTTATCCATCCAGCTAGAACTTCTGTTTCCCCATGCTTCCTGTTTTTCTATGCAACGCTAAATAGGCATGTCACGATACCAGAAAAAATGTAGTAGTCGATACCAATACTAGCGGAATTTCACAATTCTGAATACTAATTCAATAACACGGTAAAGACCTAAATGATAAATCCCTTTTCTTGAACATACACTGCTTTTATTAACCACATTTGAACATTTCCCTGACTCACTACCTAATTGAGCTGGTAACATAAACCCTGTATCTGCGCCAGAGAGCGTCTGTGTGTTTCTCTGCAGAGCATGTGCGACAGCCATTAGACTGTACAGGAGGAGCTCTTTCAGCTCGGGAAGAATTGATTCCCCGGTACCTTCAGTACTTACGGTACTGAAGAAAGACGAGTACCGTCCCATTTTCAAAACGCTGGTATCGACTTGCAACTGAAGTATCAGTTCTTGTGACATCCCTAAAGCTAAGCTAAGCTACACAAGCACATTTCCCAAAACTATAGTACTATGTATTACTGTAGCGGTTACCTGCATCTTCTAGTAAAATCAAGCTGAGCACCTTCACTTCAAAACAGTAGTTTTCTTGTAGTAATGTTTTTTTT